GTGTGTGTGTGAGAGAGAGTGAGTGAGTGAGTGAGTGTGTGTGTCTGTGTGACAGAGTGTGTGTGTGAGAGCTTGTGTGTGTGTGTGAGAAGGCCTGGCATTTTCATAAAGTGCATCTCATGAATATATGAATCATATTTCACCCCAATATCAAAAAGCAGAAATTAAACGGTGCATAAAAGCGAAGCCTGACAGCACTGAGAATCATTTACTGCATTATTATTGTGACATTATTTTCATGATAATTAGGCGCATTAATGTAGTACAGCAATTAAAATCATCATCATCGCTGACACTTCAGTTCCGACTTTTGTTTTTCATTAAACGGAGCTTGAATAAAACGCAGTCCACACAACAGCATTACTGTAATGAGATTTGTTCCTCATTTGCTTCACTGTCAGGAAAATAATGTCACATGTCTAGTGGAAAATGTCATTTCTAGTTTATTGCAGTGAAAGACGAGGCAGACGGAGTAAAGATCAGTCACAAACGGCGCTCTTACAAACACATTAAAATGCTGTTTATTCATAGAGAAATAAGTACATTTACTTCTGTAGTTATTCAACATAAAAAGACAAAAAAAGATCAAATAGCTTTTTTCACCAGTGAGGAACTCAATTACCTGATATTACTACTGTTACACATCTGAAGCCATTTAACACGTGTGTGTGTGTGTGTGTGTGTGTGAGAGAGAGAGAGTGTGTGTGTGTGAGAGTGTGTGTGTGTGTGTGTGTGTGTGAGAGCACGAGTGTTTCTCATGTTGGCTCCTGCTAATCTAAACGCATGTGGAGCTCGGCTCACGCTCTGAAGACGTGACGTTCTCCGTCTGCTTCACCCTGAGTCGATTACACATGTCCCGCGTCCACTCACTGAAGCGCTCATCCATAATCATCCAACAGGAATCTCCTCAGTTCCTCTCGATCTGCTCGATGTCCAGTTCTCCGCCCAGCTGGAGCAAATCCCGCCCCCTCCGGCTGCAGAGCCCCGCCCACAGACACTCACGCTCCTTCCCATTGCTCCGCCCTGCCGGCCAGCTGGCCTCTGATTGGTCTTTGGTCTGGTGCTGGTCACTCTTGGTGTGGAGCATCGTCTGCTCGTCTCCTGTGATTCCTGGACAGCTGAGACTGTGAAAGTCCTGCAGCTTCTGCGAGGAAAACACACGAGACGTTAACAACAGAAACACACAAGCTACTGTTCCTCAAACTCAACGCTAGAGCTCAACCAAGACAGTTTTTAATGGCATCTAAAGTACAGGAATGACATCGACATCAAACTTCTGGCTTTTTCTGACTTAGTCCATAATCCATAACAACGCTTCCTCCAGTGAAAAAGCGCATCTCCTGTTGTCTCTCACATCAAAATCCAGACACATATTTGTTTAGAGTTGTTTTGGACTGTTTTGACGGTGCGTTATTATGGATTAATCCGTCTTAATGATGGATTTGTTCTGTTGACTGGCCAATCACATGTCTGATATTTCATTAATGACACCTAACCGACTAGTGTTGTCAAAAGTACCTTCCAGTCGGTACTGAAATTTTAAAAATGTCCATTTCCCGCTAACATTTGAGCTCTGTTGAGCAGATTCTTAAACAACAGATCACTGTAGCCAATCACAGTCATATCTGTTGAGCGTGTGAACACAATGGCCAATCAGCAATGTTTAAGTATCCGCTCAAGAGAGCTCAAATGTTAGCGGGAAATGGACATTTTTAAAATTTCAGTACCGACTGGAAGGTACTTTTGACAACACTATAACTGACCAGCTCTTATTCATTACATCAGGCCTCGTTAACACAGAAACAGAATATTTGGTTTGTAAATAGAGACAGTTTTCCACAAACACAATCATCGACATTGTGAGTGTGTGTGTATGTGTGAGAGTGTGTGTGTGTG